GGGAGTGACTTACCAGACGGTAAAACTGGGGAGACAGCTGTCCACTGGGCCATTTAAGGGAGAGCTTCTGCCTTGCACTGGGCGTCTATTCCAAATGCTCCCACCCTCACAGATCACGTGCCTCAGGTGTGGCAGCTTCACATGCTGAGACCGGGTGGGTAGGCCAGCAGACCCTTCACCTGGCTGGCTTCAGTTCACGAGGGAAAGGAGTGTGCCTAAACTCTTGACAAGGTCAGGTCACTTTTTAAAAAAAATCCAAACCTTGGTGCTGCTATTTGGATCCAGCCTAATTGGAAATCTGCCCCAAAAGCCACCATCAGCCTTCAATTTCCCTCTCCTGTGGATTGGGCACTGATGTTTATTTAAAAGTTTCACTGAAACCACAGAAAAACAGACTTAAGAGTTAAAAGCTCAAATGAAAATTCTGGCTCTGTCACCTAAAGATGCAACTTCAAGCAAGTCATTGAGCCGCTATGAATTTAGAGTCCCTCTATAAAACATAGAGAAGGGCCACTTTGGGGGACCATCCTTAAATGGATAAGACATTCCAGGCCACAAATATAGTGAGCAAATGCCCCATACTGCCTGGCACGTATGTATGTAGCAAGCTTTCAGTATATATTGAATGAACAAAGTCAATAGAAGGGATAGTGATGTGTGCGACTATTACCAAAGTAGTAAGGGAAACCAGCCTACAGTATAAAGCTGTGGTGAAGTGTTGTCTCTCTGAGTTTTTCTGCAAAACTTTGATGCTGGGGCTACATTCTGCCTGTTATTGCTCTGGGACTCGTTCTCTCCCTGAGTCACACTGCTCCAGCAGGTAAGGGAGCATCACTCAAGCATGAACGTGCAACCAGCTTCTTGTGTTCAACCTGTGACTACAAAAGCATTGCCAAGATCCTAGCTTCCCACTGAGGAGAACTTGCATTCCACCCTGTTAAGCCTAAGTGGGCTGGGTATGCCAACCAAGAAATCAAAAAAATACCCAAGGCCAAGTAATTGTGCACTGCCTCGGAGCTCTCCTTTTTTTTTCTGGAGGGGCCTAAGATGACAGCTGAGCCATATACCCACGGTTAGGACATCTGAGCCAAGGAACCGGGTGTGCCCAAGCAATTAACATTTAGCTAAGAGGGAAGTGTACAGCAGAAGCTGGTGGTGGGAGCTTTGACAACCATTTCTGACCCTTCGTCATGCCAGTGTTCTAGCTGCAACAGAGGAATGCAGCGGAATGGATAAGCCTGCTCAAATCACCAGTGATGGAAGCTCTGCACATGTCACCCAGAAACAAGGGAAGGCCAGTCACTGAAGACAGCTACCAGTTACTGAGCACAGTGTGCCACATACACCTACTACCTAATCTAGATTATCTCCCAAGGGATTTGGTGATATTATTCCAAAGAGAAAAGTGAGGCCCAAAGAGACTACCCTAACCTCACCCGGGTAATATAGCAAGTCAAGGAGGAGGCGAAGCAGTGGGAAAGGTCCTAGCAAATGAAGCTTCTCTCTTGGGGTGGGGACAAAGTAGCCAGAGGAGTGAATGAGGATTCAAAGAACTATCCCAAGTCACCCCTAATTAAAGGCTCCTGACTCCATTATAGAAAGCTCCTGATAAAAGCGGAAGCCCCTTCTCTGGATATGGGGAGCAATCCCTCCCTCCTCCTGGGTCCTGGGACCCAAGGAAAGCACACGAAAGCCAGGTAACCAGCCACCTTTCTGGGTTTGGTCACATCAGCCTCCCTGCTTTCTATGGATGGAAAAATGGATGCTTTGCACTTCATGCCCCTTTTCCCCACCCAAGCAGTGACACAAACTAGATAATCCTTGCCAAATAGAGCTGGCAACAGTATTCCTGTAGCTTTCTCCCTCACATGGTCGGAGAGCTATGAGAAGACAACCACTCGGGACAACATACACAAGCTTAAAAGAAACTCACCCCAAATTTTGCTCTTACCTCTCAATTATTAAGGCAGGAGGAAGGATTGGTTTAAAGCAGAGTTTCCTTCCATTCCTGTTTATTCTATTTAGCTTGAATCGCTGCTTCCTCTGTTGGTCAGACCACGCCCTGTTTTGCTAGCAATAGTTTCTGCAGAGGCTGTGTTTCAGTTCCAGGGCTCTATGCTATTGGGAACAATAGAATGTGATGAAAGAATCACCAGTGATTCTGTCTCTCCTGAGACAACAAGAGGAGCAATCTCAGTCTGAAGTCTCAGCCTTCTCGACACCATCTAGCTGTGACAGATGGGGAGAGTTGGAAGCACAAGATTCAGTATGGAGAAAACAAGATCTTATTCTGGCGGGTTTATTAGCCTTCATGATAATCTGGTTGTTTTGTTTTGAGACAGTGTCTTACTCTGTTGCCCTGGGTAGAGTGCTGTGGCATCATCATAGCTCACAGCAACCTTAAACTCTTGGGCTTGAGCAATCCTCTTGCCTCAGCCTCCTCAGTAGCTGGGACTACCAATGCCCACCACAATGCCTGGCTAGTTTTGTTTCCTCTGTTTTTTTTTGATGGACAGAGTCTCACTTTGTCACCCTCAGTAGAGTGCTGTGGTGTCACAGCTCACAGCAACCTCTAGCTCTTGGGCTTAGGTTCTCTTGCCTCAGCCTCCTTAGTAGCTGGGACTACAGGTGCCCACTATAACGCCCCGCTATTTTTTTGTTGCAGTTTGACCGGGTCCCGCACCCTATTCACTGAGCCACAGCGCCGCCCTGTTTGGATTCTTCTATTTTTAGTAGAGACAGCATCTCACTCTTGCTCAGGCTGGTCTGAAACTCCTTAGTTCAAGCAATCCACCTGCCTCAGCCTCCCAGAGTGCTGGGATTACAGGTGTGAGCCATCCACCTGGCTAAACTTTGTAATCCTTTGTCAATTTCTTCCACCTTCAACAGAAGCCACAAAGTATAGTAATGGCCTCTTAAAAGTCAGGCCACATAGGCAGGGCCCATATCTCAGTGAGCAGGGCGCTGGCCACATACATTGAGGCTGAAAGGTTCGAGCCCAGCCCCAGCCTATAAACAATGACAACTACAACCAAAAAATAGCTGGGCGTTGTGGTGGGCACCTGTAGTGCCAGCTACTCAGGAGGCTGAGGCAAGAGAATTGCTTAAGCCCAAGAGTTTGAGGGTGCTGTGAGCTGTGATGCAATAGCACACTCTACCAAGGGCGACATAGTAACACTGTCCCCCCCCCCAAAAAAAAAGTCAGGCCACATAAAGATGGTGACTTTGGTTCCCTGGTCTGCCGCCTGAAAGGATGTGAGGTTACTTTGGGTATATGCTATAATAATGACAACACAACTATAGGAACAGTGAGGCAGAGAAGCAGAAAGTGCCTACACAGTTTTACCTAAATGTCTTCTTAGGATGGGGCTGACACGCCCATACCGACAGTCAAGAACAATTAGCTCAGAGTAGTTCTGAAAAGGAAGAATTCACCAGGCATCAGTTATGGGTGAAAGGAAGTCACCATCTGCCAACGGGCACCAGAGTGTCACTGCATTGAAAGGGGAAAGGAGTGGGTTGGATGAGATCCAGGGGCCTCTCTGCCCACGTTAAAACTGAGTAGCTTCTCTGCCTGCTGGCATCAGTGTCAACACGTTCTATGTGTGTCTCACTCAGTCTCACACCCAGGAAAGCAGAAACAATAGACATAGGAACTGAGGGGAAGAAGGAGCTGTACAGGCTGGTCCTCTCGAAGCAGTGGGTGTGGGGGGCTGCAGACTTTTATTAAAGCTGTGCCTCCCTTTGCCCTTAACATCTCTCCATACCCTCTCTCCCTGCCTCCTTCACAATCCCAGGGATAAGCCTGTGTCCTTCTGCGAGAAACTGAGGTGAAACCTCTAGTAGTTCTTGGCTGCTTACGGCCTTGGAGCTGCTATTTCTGAAGGGAAAGAACAGTAGTGACAGCAGATAAAAAGGGAGAAGAGCTTGAGGGCAGCACCTTTAGGGTTAGAAATAGCTTTCATAGTTAAAAGCTGCAACTATGTTATGCATCAGAGAAGGGCCTCAATAGACTACAGTATGCAGATTATGTCCCACTGGTTTGCAATATTAGGGTTCCAGGAGTTGCCAGAAGTCAGTCATCTCATTAACATACTACCAGCAGTTCCAGTTTCTCCGCATGATTAAATAAGGCCTATGTTTGAGGTTTAGAATCTTACAATGAAATCCTTTATTTCAAAACAAAAAATAGGCCGGACACGGTGGCTCACATCTGTTATCCCAGCACTCTGGGAAGCCAAGGTGGGTGGATGGCCTGAGTTCACCAGCTTGAGACCAGCCTGAGCAGCTGGGTTTTGTGGCAGGCACCTGTAGTCCCAGTTACTTGGGAGGCTGAGACAAGAGAATCACCTGAGCCCAAGAATTTGAGGTTGCTGTGAGCTATGATGCCACAGCACTCTGCTGAGGGCGACAAAATGAGACTGTCTCAAAAAATAATAATAATTTTCCAGGCTGAAAATAGGTCTGGGGAGAAGATGAAAGCTTTCTTGTTTCTAGTCCTCTCCTACACAAATGCTTTTGGATGAAGGGAAGAAAGAATGGCCAAGGGTAAGGAAAAACTTCACAATGAATGCTAAGTGTTGACACCCCCTGCAGATAAAATTTATCATCTTTACTTAGTCATACAACATCAAGGACTGGTTAGTTCAGAGAAGGGCTGCATTTCATTACGTGGATCAGTTCCCTTCCCCCACATGCTCCACAATGCAACAGAACCAAACAACATGTTCATCTACAGGAGACTGTTTAAATACTACCGGTCCAATAACTGCCCTTGCTTCTTTGTTGGGAAAGGAACAAAAGACAAATGCAGAAAGCAATAAAAACCAAACCCGTCTACAAAGCCAACTGGGCCCTATCCTCCCAGGGCATTTTTAGTGGAATTTCTGCTGGGCCTTGCCACTCACTCTATCACATCAGTGAGGAAAAGAGGCAGAGGGGCAGTTCTGGTCATCTGCACTGCAGTAGAAAGAAACCAAACACAATTTGGGCCACAGGTAGATTCTGGCACATTTTTAGATTAGGTTAAAAATGTCATGGTGTACACAGGAAGCAGGCAAAGTTTTTTCTGACAGATGTGATGCCTGTAGGCAGAAAGAATGGTCCGATCTACCCTGGGGGAGGAGCTCCCTCAGTAAGGACAGAGGAGCTAGGGGGCCTCAAGGAAGGTATTGGTTCGGAAGATGGAGGAGACAATCTTCCCAGTGGCGTTGATGGTGCCTTCACTGTCTGAGCTGGACTCAGAGTCGCTGCTCCCAGAGTAGGCGCCCAAGCCTGGGAGGATGCCAATACAGACTGCGGCCGAGGGGCAGTGGATAGAGGGGCCACTCAGGGAAGTGTTTCCAAGAGACTTGCAGGACGAGGCCTCTGTAAAAAAGGAGGAAGGATTGTTACTTCATCACTGTTTTCCAAAATTGAAGGTGTATTTATTGTGCCAGGCATGGTAACCAAGGGTTTTAGCCACAGAAACCCACAAATCCCTCAAAACAAACCACGCAGCCAGTACTATTGTTACCCTCATTTTATAGATGGGAAAAGAAGAAAGAAGTGAGGCTGTAGGAGGCAACATGATTTCTCAAGGTATAGGGGCAAACTTGGGACTTGAACCAAGGTGTTTCTATTTTTTAAATTTATTTTTTGGCTTTTATCATCATTTATTTTAAAAGGACTAAATTTCAACATCTACCTTAAAATATATATTTTTAACATATACCTCCAAATCATTTGTAGGTTACCTCAAAAGTAACACAGATGAAATGTCTTGGGTATTATAAGATATGGATCATAAAACCATACAATTTAAAAGCTAGAAGGGAACTTAAAAATTCAAATAGTCAGCTGGGCGTGGTGGCTCACGCCTGTTGTCCCAGCACTGTGGGAGGCCGAGGCGGGTGGATTGCCTGAGCTCAGCCGAGACCAGTGGAAGGCCAGCATGAGGCAGAGTGAGCCAGAGTGAGACCCCCTTCTCTACCAAAACAAAAAACAAAAAAACAGCAGGATGTTGTGGCAAGCGTCTGTAATCTCAGCTACATGGGGGGCAAGAGGGCAAGAGAATCGCTAAAGGAGGAAGAAGTATAAAAAAAAAAAAATTAAAAAAAAAAACCTTCAAACTAAGATAAAGTGAAAGCCAGCAGAAATTGAAAGCAAAAATTAAAAAAAAAAAATTCAAATAGTCTTTGAGCTAAAAGCTTCTTTAAAAACCTAAATTAACTCTTCATTAAATACAGCAAACGCAGAATCTCTGAAAGAGAGGAAAAATATCCAAGTTCCCTTTAACCCCAGAGCCTGACCAGACTCTCTTGTCCCCCATCAGTTCCCCATATACAGACAGTTTCTGGGGTATAAACAAGGTAGATTTTGTAGGTTTGTTCTTGAGTCTGTATATAAGTTAGAACAGGTACATTTATCTATTACCTGTAGTCGCCTACTTTTGTAAGTGCCAATTGTACATCAGTCAGATGTTTGTAACTCGAGACTTACTGTAATATAGCCTCTGTTCGTAAGTGTGAGCTGTATGTCAAGTTGGATGTTTATAACTCAGAGACTGCCTGATTCTTGGAATGTAGCTCATCCTGGTTTGATTTCCTTGGACTCAACAGTCACGGTATAACAGCAAGTGAGAGTCACATCTAATATAATATCATTCCTTACTCACTCTCAGGGCAGGAAATGGACAAGGGGAGATAAAAGACTTCCACATGCTCCCAACAGTCGGGATGAAGAAAGATGAAGAGAGACACTGTGAGCAACACTAACAATTCCATTCAATTCTCAGCATATCACCATTGCATACTTACTGACCAACATGTCAGCTAACATAGATACATTTTCAAGGCCTAACATCAGCTGCAAGAAGGGCTGCTTTTCGCTCAGGGGGGAAATAAGCAATTTAGAAACTGATTTAATATGACCTTTGCTTTCCAATTGTGTTCCTCTTTTACAACTGAGGAAACTGAAGCCTTCTGGGTAACATTTTGAGACTATGCAGAATGTCACTCAGGAGCTGGGACTCTTTTCTTCCCAGGAAATGCAGTTAATCTGCCACCCCAATGACGGAGGTCTCAACCTAGAAAATGCAGGACTTGAAGGTTAAAGCAAAAGTTAAGAACTCCTTTCTTTCCTCTAAATGTTTCTGGCCTCATTTAATTACTTTAACAATGTGGGCTCAGTGCCTGTGGCTCAAGCGGCTAAGGCACCAGCCACATACACCTAAGGTGGCGGGTTCGAA